CTAAGAAATTCTTACTAGAAGGCCTTGAGCAGATTTCCTCTTAAATCTCTTGGATAAGAATTAGGTCCCATCTTATACCATCGATGACAGTGGGCTCCAAATGGCACCAGGAATTAAGACAAATAAGTTTCCATTTTAGAAGCAAAATGTTGGGAAGAGAGTATTTCTTTTCTGGAGGAAAAAATAGTGGTTTGGAAATTTGGAGGAAGGAAAGATGCGTAGGACACAAAGGCATCAACATTGCAGGAAACCTATGTTTTGTGGAGTCTCTGCCTATATAAGCAATTTGAGTCAGCCTGGCAGCCCTATGTAGAGGCCTGATCTTGCATGATTCTGGGAAAGAAATGATGTGTATGGCAGCCAGGATGATCAACTCACCAGATCAATTTTCTAAAAGTGGGACATGGGACAATACTCCAGTATGCATCTCTATGCATCTTAGAGGACCTAGCTGCCTCAAGCACAATGTGGAGGATTGAGATCCTCTAAAGTGGAGATACAGGGTCTAGGCAGGACCCATGAAGCTTCTTATCCAAGCCAGGAGGCCTTGTTTTGGTAGTACTGTTGACTCTGACTCATTCAGGCAACTAAAGAGGGGTTCAGACATTTTTTAAAAAAACATTTTAAATCTCAGCAACCCTTAAAGTTCAGTTTCCAGAGCACCAGACCCACTTGCCCAGGAATAAGGGGAGTACTGGGGATTCAGGTTGATTTAGACAATCAGAGAGAACAGTCCTCAGGGAGGAGGAAGATGACCCCAGAGAAAAGGAACATCAAAGAGCCCACTTGCAACACATCAGGGCAGGAGAGGTAACAGGCTTCCTCTTGAAATAAACTATAACCATTTGATTATGGCTACCTGAACCTCTGTGTGGGACATTCTGAACCCAAACCTAGACTCTATAGCTCAAGACCATGATTACAAAAGGGTTCTTCATGAATAGAGGATGTGGGTTGGGAAGACTGGCATCTGATGTTTGCCATTCTGGCTGAGAAGAGTTGTCTCAGCCCCTTACACCTAGGATTTGTAGGGAAGCTTACATAAACCATCCTATTGGCACTTACTGGTCTGTACTGAAATATTCAAAAAGGAGTGTACATTATTCTATAGCCATCAAAATGAAAACAAAGGAATGCTTATAACTCAGCTGCTAGTAATGAAGTACAGGAGTGTGTCTATTTGTTTGTGTATATCTATTTCTGCTTTATTGACTATGCCAAAGCCTTCAACTGTGTGGATCACAATAAACTGTGGAAAATTCCGAAAGAGATGGGAATACCAGACCACCTGACCTGACTCTTGAGAAACCTGTATGTAGGTCAGGAAGCAACAGTTAGAACTNCCTGGGTGTTCATTGGAAGGACTGATGCTGAAGCTGAAACTCCAATACTTTGGCCACCTCATGCAAAGAGTTGACTCATTGGAAAAGACCTTGATGCTAGGACGGATTGGTGGCAGGAGGAGAAAGGGACGACAGAGGATGAAATGGCTGGATGGCATCACCGACTCGATGGACATGGGTTTGAGTAAACTCCGGGAGTTGGTGATGGACAGGCAGGCCTGGCGTGCTGTGGTTCATGGGGTCACAAAGAGTCGGACAAGACTGAGTGACTGAACTGAACTGAACTGATAGGTATGTGAGGAAGAGAAAGTGTGTGCGTGCACACACGTGAGTGTGTGTGTGTGTGTGTGTGTGTGCACGTGCGCGCGCTGGAATGTTTTGGGATGTTATAGCAAAACCTGAATAAACCTTTTGGCCAACCCAGTAGGTTGGAAAACACTTAGAAACTGGAGAACTGTGACCAGATTAAAATGGAAGACCGATTTAACACCCCATCTGCTTTTGTTCCCTTGCGCACCTCCCTCCCATCCCCGAATCTGGCGGCAGTGCTAACAGGCTGTGACACTGCGAAAGCCCAGGGCCCGAGAGCTGACAGGGAAGTGTCTGCCAGGTAAACCTTCACTGAGGCTGTGTGCAGACTGGCCCTGACAGCCAAGGACATTCTCTTCATGGGAAATATCTGAAACTCGCTCCACAGGGCAATTCAACAAAGCAGAACCTTATCAGGTGTACAAAGCACATTTTCTCAGTTAAATTCTGGCTCTAAGCTTACATGGAACTAGGATACAAGCTGAAAGGACTCTTCAGTCAGCTGCAGATTTCCATTCATGTTTCCTATTAATTGTAGAGATAAAGTACTTACTACTTAGGAGATGGCCTGACATGGCTTATTGGTAATAAGCCCCCCAAAATTATCTTATAAAACAAAAGGGACTCTGGGTTTCAGAGCTGATAGGCAACCTCAGCTTCATATATTCTGCTCCGTTTAAGTCTTCTAAAGGGAGCACACCTCTCATGCAGCCAGTCAATAGAAGCTGAAAAGTCTTCTGGGCATTTTTCCAAAAAGTCAAGTGCATTTTTAATTAAACAGCACTTTTCGCTGTTTCCCCCCATATTATTATCTACCACCGAGATAGAGTGAAAAAGCACAGGTCACCTTCACCATAGCTTATCATTCATTCATAACCACAATAGTTCAAGTCTAAGGTCAAATTTCTCCTATCCCCTTTGCTTTGTGGGTTGGTCCTGGAGCCTGAGATCACAACTGCATCAGAGATCTGAATACGGCAAGTTTTCTAAAAATAGGGTCCATAGAGTTAAGGGATCAGCCCCTCAGGGAAGTCAGATCAGAGCTTAGGATGTGGTTCAAGCTCAAGCTGTGATCTGAAGGGAGCCTGCTGATGAGGGAGAACATGACAGGGGAATGGTTTTCAGTCCATTCCTCATTGTTTTCCAACGTTTTGCCTCTATCAGTACTGCCACAAAGCATGCTTTCAGCTAAATATTGCACAGAGATTTCTTCCTTTCCGTTGGTTTGTATTCTTCACTGTTTTCATCTTAGACATTCTGCTCAGGGTCTGAGTCACCATCTGTACCCCTCTGGAAAATGTTATTTTTTTTAACATTATTTACTAAGCTTCCTCTGACTATTGTATAGTTTCATGTTTAAAAAATTTATTCTCAGATTCTTCACTTAAGGAAAGTCTCGACTCAGGTGCTGAAGGGATATTATTGAATAATTCCAAATAAATCCATTAGAAAACCTTTATGAGAAAAAAATTAAAGTGTGTTCATTAAAATAGAAAGTAAACAAAAAGTCTTTCTAGTCAAATATATTGAGAATAATATGTTCTAAAACATGAGGGAAATATAATTTTACAACAGGCCACAAGAATATGTGGAAAGCCCCCAAAATGTAATATATATTTTAAACAAACTCAGTAATTAATTCCTAATTACTATTTGATTACTCTAAGGCCTCCAGACTTGCTCTAAGCAAAACAATCTTTTCTTCTTACAAAACAAATGATCTTCTCACACAGTTTATTTAATTTCTAATGGATAGTTTTTATCAAGTATGAAAATACAAGGCAGTAAAGTTAAAATTTTTGTTCCTAGACCTAATTGCAGAATTGTCTGCTTGCCTAATAAATAAGATTCTGAGAATTCCCCTTATTACTTAAGGTTTCCATGAACTCTTCCTTCCTATTTGTTACTTCAGAGACTACAAAAGGCAATATTCAAGGGACTTCCCGTTTTTTCCAAATTGAAATTTCACAAGAAGATAAAGTCCTATTGGAAATACACCATGAGAAGTCCCAAAACAGAACAGATATATGTGTATGTATAACTGAACCACTTTTTTGTATACCTGAAACTAATGAAACACTGCAAATTAACTACACTCCAATATAAAATTAATTTTTTAAAAAGCCTCATCAAGAAATCAGGGTTGTAAAGGTTGACAATCCAGCTTTAGAATGACTGCCCCAATTTACTCTGAGTTTAATTAACTGTGAGAACACATTCTACCTTGTGTCCTAGAAGCCACCCATGCACAGCCAGGAGGATGAGCTCTGATCACCCATTGAAGTCACTGGTCCTATGATGGAGTCTTCACTGGCTCCTCCCCTCTCTAGCTCACTCCCTCACTCCTTTATCAGGGCTGCCTGTGATCACCTCCAAGATAAAGTCATCACACACTAAATACTTGCCTTTAATTCTACTCACCAGGGAGCCCAAACAAAGGCACAGACTCAGTACCTGTCTGTTCCACACCTAGTCCATATCTATCCCCACTACCTTCTTCTGTCCAAGCATCCACTGTGCTCCCAAGCTGCTCAGGGCACTGACACTATCACCAACCGACCTGAGAAGCACGCTCTTTCCCTGGTTCTCCCCACAATCAACTTGTCCCTCCTGTGCCCGCGCTCTCAGCTCTTTCCTGAGAACTGAACGGATTGGACAATGGCATTCCGATGCAGCTCACTTTGGTAGAAATAACACAGTAGCAAAAGCAAAAGGCCTGGTGCTAGGTTTACCCATCACTACCTTGACCTCAGCCAAATAATCCTTCAGGTTCAAGGTCTTTTCATCAATGATATGAAGACAAAAACATCTGAGGGACAACTGCACTGATTTAGAGGGTCCAGAAGTTCCTGAGAATTGGAAAATTTAGGATGGATAAGAGAACATGTTCAAACTTCCTATCTTAAGCATTGCCTTTGATGATGGTGAAGCCTGAGTTTTCATAGTTCAGATCTTCAAGCACAGAGAATTTGGAGACATAACAGCCCTAACACATTGTTGCGGTAATAAAAATGAGGACATACGTTCAAAGGAATAGTAATGTGGAAGGACGTAGTCCAATTAAGCAGACCTAGTCTGATTATGCAGGCTTAAAATCAAATAACTCTAAAGCTGGGTGTATAGACATTCCAGAGAAATTCTCATAAAGGTACACAGGAGGTTACATGAAACAATTTACAATAAGTCCCATTCCTATAAACAAATTCCATTCTGAGAGTGTATTAATAAGTCCAGTGTATTTGTAAGTTCAACAAAGTTAGCCTAGATACCCAACTAATACAGTCGGCTGTATAGTACTGTATTGTAATAGGGTCATAACAGTTTTCATACAAAAATACATTAAAGACAAAAAATAAAACATTTTTAATCTTACAGTATAGTACCTTGAAAAGTACAATAGCACAGGACAGCAGCTGGTATGCAGGGGTGGCGTTCAGTGAATAGGTAAGAAGGCTTACTGACCGAAGGATGGAGAGGAGGTGGGAGACAGAACGGGAAGGGTCATCAGCAACAGGAGCCAGGATAAGCTGCAGTTTTGCTCACACCCGACGCCGATGGCCCAGGGTCTGGTTCCTTACTGGAACCAGATGCACATTCACATCTTCAAAAGTCCACAACTTGAAGGTTCGCATGTAGGGGACTTACTGGACATCATAACTGGCAGAGGGTAGAGAGAGGCACTCTGAGAGCTCACCCTGGAGCAGGTGGGTAGCTGAGGTGTTTACAGAGCAATCCACTAGGTATTTATGGAGCAATGTTCATAGAGCTTAAAAACCACAGTGTGAAGTGGGAAAAAATGAAACAAAATATAAACTATAATATCATTTATGTTTATTAAATATATATGCAGCAAAAAAGAATGCACATCTTCAAAACATATATAGGTAAAGAATATATATCAAACACAAGAATGTGTACCTATAGCAAGAAAAGAGAAGATAGAAATCCTTAGAAAAGTTAATCAATCAATCACCCAAACAACAAGTACACAGGAGAGGGGTCTTGCCCAAACTTAAAAGAGCAATGAACTAGGGAGTGTGACTGACTCAACCTTTTGTTCTCAAAGTCAAAGATGAATGGACAAACAATTGAATAAATGGCTGTCTTAGAACCTGATTATCTGAGTGCTAATTCTGTCTTTAGCATTTACTAGCTTGATTTAACCTTTTGGAGACTCTTCTCACAAACATAAAATATGAATAATACTATTACCTGCCTCACAGGTTCATTGTGAAGGTAAAATCAAATTCGTGGTGCCGGACACATGATCAGAACACAGTGAGTACTAGAGATGATCAATAATCTAAAATGATGCCTCGCACAGTCTAGCAGGTAGAGAAGTAGTGTTTGGGGGAGAAAAAATGAGCAGAAAGCATTACTAAGGCCCCACTTCTCCTCACCCACTAATGGAGGAGATGATGAGGACTTTGCATCTCCAGGCACCAACTGGAAATACAGTTGGCACCTGGAAATACAGGATGTTTTCCTTCACTTCTGCTCCATCTTTATTGCTGCAATACAACAATGGAGCCATCCAAAATGGTGCCTGGAGGATGAGGAGGCGAACTGTTCTGTGGGCAACCCTCCTTGCTTTGCCCTGGGCAGGATGATGAGGGTGATGGAGCCATGGTCTGAGGACACAGTGGCTCAGATAGAGCTGGCTCCAAGGAGAATGTGAGTTGTGCACAAGGGTACATAGTGTCTACCAAGTCCCCGCCAACAAGGGCCCCAAGGCCAAAACCACGGTGGATTCTCCCTTGGTGTATTGCCCCAACTGGACAGACAAGACAAAGAGGACCACTTAGAGAAGGTGAGGACTGGATGCTGGGGGTGGCAGCTAGGAAAGAAAGGTAACACGGACAATATGGCGGGCACCGGGTATGCTGGGGGGGGGCGCTCCCGGGACTGTCCGCAACAGGGCGGTTTGCTCTTCGGTCTTGGCTGCTCCCAAGATGATGGGTACAAACTAACTCTGAAGAGTTATAAGAAGTCTTTGCAAGAATCACGTGGTGACAGTCAGAGAAACAGTGATGTAGGAAACAGTTCAGCAACATGACCTAAACTTGACTGTCTGCATGTCCCAGGAAGCACAGAACCCAAACAGGACAGGAAAACAGCATGTGTTTTGTGTAAATACCAGCTTTCACACCTTCAAGAGTTTCCCAATGAACCCCTGAAAGCGGGCAGGGACTCCTTTTCAAAAAGTTACTGTTTTTTTAATGTGCAAAAATAATTAAGCAGTAGGGAAATACAACCTGATTCAGATAGTAACGTATGCATAAAATAAAACTGGTGTTGAAAAATCATCACACCCATCCTTCTATTTCCCCATGTTTCTTTTTTTATTTGCCTGCTAAACAGAGGGGCATGTTAGTATTGCTGTCAGCTTAATAGAAGGCATTCAAGGCTCTAACAGTGGCGGGAGAAACTGTAGGCAAATCTCTTCTAAGCGGGGTGTTAGTGATCACTGCCATGTTATATGCCTGCAGGGAACTTTCTTAGTTCCAGTGCAGTTCATAAGGAAAACACTAAGACTGAAAAAAGAGTGATAAAAGTTAAATCTAGCAAGTGATTAGCACCAGCGTTCCAAAAACTTCATCCCAGCCTGAGTGTTCACTTCTGCTCCATCTTCATTGCTGCAAAATAAGAGGAAACAGTAGTCAGGTTAATGGAGACAGAATTTTAAAAAGCAGGCCCACTCATATTCAGGTATGGCATTTCATATAAAAATGATTTGGAGTAGGAAGTTTCTGTTTGTTGTTTTCTCAATAGTTGTTTTTTTTATTGTTGTTGTTACACAATTAATGGCAGGATAAAGACACCCAGTGGTACCTTCAAATCAGACCCCGATCTCTCCAGAGCTCAGCACAGCAGTTCTGACCTCCTGCAAGGGGTGCCAATGACTTTGAGGGGCTGGTGCCAACTTAAGGAATGGCCCTGCTATCCCACCCACAGCTCCTCATCCTTCAATGACTTGGCTGTCGCCAACTTTTTCTTTAGTGTTAAATGCATCATTCCCTAAAATGTAGCCTCTAAATTACAGAGAAGGTAAAGTGAACTGGGATTGGATTTTCAAAATGGGACATTACAAAAGCAGGAGACAGCAAATGAGCCTCTTGCCTTTTTTTCCACATATTAATTCCATTGGCTTCCCAAGGCTGGTGGAGTAGAGGGGTGGTTCC